GCATGATAGTGACACAGGCGACCAAACATCTGATTGCTCCATGAAGGGTATTAGGATCCCAAGGCAGGGTACTTCTCGGAACTGTATCTCTCTCCAAAAGTCTGTCAGGTTCCCATTCATGTCTGACTACACATTGTTCGTTAGCCCAGTTTTCAGAATGGCACCATACTCTCTCTTGTTTGGTGATGGTTAGGGTTTGTTCCAGAATCAGAGTTGCATCTTCATAATCTAAATCATAACTCTGACTTACCTCTTTTATTTTTTCTTGATACATTTATCTGGGTCATCTAAAACCTTACCCAACTCCCTCTTAATCTGTCATAGCGCATCTGAAGGAAAAGAAACATTTGCCTACTGGGGACTTCCCATGTGTGGTCTGTCCTGGTTACCTGGGTAGGGAATTATGGCTACTGGGGTTGTAACCACTCGAAGAACCACTGGGCCCAGTGGGCCTGGATGAGGGGCAGAGGAAGAACTGGAGAAGAGGACAACACCCTTTGGTCAAGTAGGAAGTAGGGGAATATAGAGATGCCCTTGGGCTGATGGTTAACCTCTCTTCAAAGGTTAGCCGCTCTTTAACCACAGGGTGCTGGTCTGTCATCCCTCGCTGGGGTTACAGCCACTAAGAGATCTAACTGGCAGGTCTTACAAAGCCAGCCTGAAATACACAGTGAGAATCTGTGTCCAAAAAAGAAAGAAAGAGGAAGAAATGAAAAGAAAGCTGTAACCTTTGTTCAAAAGCATTAATTTAGGGCTGGGATTTAGCTCGGTGGTGTCACCACCTGCCTCCCAAGTACAAGGGCAAGGTCCCGAGTTCAATACCCGATACAAAACAGACAAACCAAAAACCACATTAGTTTATCTGACAGGAGGCTGGGAGAGCAATTTAGCAGATGGGAGTGGAGAATGAAGATGTTGAGCGATAGGAGCCCCACAGCCCGGCCACGGAAGGAGAATGACCGTGGGAGATTAGGAGAGGTGAAGAAGGTTACAAAAGAACAAAGAGAAACAGATGGGGGCCTCTAACTCCTATCAGGAGGAGAAGACCCCAGGGAGCCCCAGCGGGTTGTGTGTATCGTGGCAGAGGTGAGGGAAGCCAGGGCAAGGTAAAAGGGCTGGGCTGTACCCAGAGCCAGGACAGTAACTGAGGTCTGCAGGACTCCCGCGGGGGGGATGGTTTTCTGGAGAATGGACGGACGGGGAGGAGGACAGTCCTCTTCTCGGCCAGGCCTGGCTCCACCACGGCCTCTTGTTGCCTGTTCTCCTCCTGAGGGGCCCTGCCTCGTCCATGGGAGGAGGCGAGTTAGGCCTGGCCGTAGCGATCCCAGTAGAGCGTGACCCGGCAGGGAGACACTCGGGACTCAGAAGCAGGAAGGGCAAAACCTCTCGCGTGCAGGAAAACATGTGAGAAAGACATTTGATCTTGCTGTTGCACAAACATCAGACATAAACCTAGCAGATTGGGAATTGTCTTGAGCCCGGTGGAGTGTACAATGCTCTGTCGTCAGTATCTCCTAACTCTCAGTTATGAGAGTCTTTGAAGTGACCGATGCTCAAACAGCTTTCAACTCTCTGACCTATGCCCACAAAAGTGCAATTAGACAATTAAGACGAGCCAACCAGTCATATCACCTTTCTTACCTCCTTCCAAAGAGCCCGGTGGCTACACCATAGACGTGGGGAATGACAGGGAAAATACCCTGGGATCTCAGAAAGTTCAGAACAGTGTGTAGAACTGAGAGGAAAGGATCCTCAGAGAGCAGAGATCTTGACTTATCAGACCTTAGATGGGGAGGGGTTCCCAGATCCCAGGTTTCAGCACCAAAAAAGGAAACCACCCTGGTTTTTGGCTGTCCAGGGAGAAGAATGTGCTTGGCTGCTTTCAGCGATGAGAGACCATGTTCAAACAAAATGTTGGCTTAAAGAAAGCAACCTTTTGGGCCAGGGATTTAGCCCAGTGGTTCTCCTGCTGCCTCACAAGGACCTGAGTTCAATCACGGGTACCCCCCCCAAAAAAAAGAAAGCAAAAAAGAAAGTAAGCAAACAAGCAAACTTTTATTGCAAAGCAGGAAACGACTCAACAACAAGCCAAGTCATCACCAGAGTGCGAACACCCCTGAGTTCCTTTGTTTTGGTTCCCTTTATTTTCCCCACACTTCCAGTGAATGAAGAAGATCCGAGAAACCACCCAGGTGCTTACCGCACGTGTTCTGCCGGGGGTGGAAATTTCAATTTCCCGCTTCTGTCCACCTGTTTGCCCCCAGTGGGATGGAGGCCAGAAGGTCTATAGCTTCCAACTTAGTCTTCAAACACTCGCAGAACAGATCAGCACACAGGTGTGGCTCCATGAGCCCTGACTGTGGGCAGAGGGCTGTGACACCGGCTTGATGAGGACGGGAACCTTGTATTAGGTGATGCAGAAGAATTCACTCTAGAAGGGAGCCAAGCAAACAGTGAGGTGGCTCGTGCTGAAAGGAGATGATGTTACTGTGTCACACAGTGTCTCCCACCAGGAATGATCAACGAAGGAACAGACGGCGGTGGAGAGGGTTGGTAAGGAAGGAAATTACAACCTGTGCAAAATGCAGCCATTCACATGGTTTTCCCTGGGAGCATCTGAGGGGCTGTTTGTTGTATTTTGGAGACGGGGGTCTCACTACATAGTTCAGGCTGGCCTTGAACTCACTATGTAGCTCAGACTGGCCTGGAACGTTCTTTGGATCCTCTAGACTCAGTCTCCCAAGAGCTGGGATTACAGGTGCGAGCCACCACGCCCACCTTCGTGAGCTATTTCAACTCACATCTCCATGACTGATAAAATATGCAGTAGGGAAACAGTAAGAATGGAAAAGATTTTCTCAATGCGATTCACAGGAGTGACTTAATGGATGCACAATGTGAATGACACCCTCAAGATTCCAATCAAGGGAAATGCGCATTCAAATTTAAATGCTTTAAGGCCGGCCATTTAGCTCAGTGGTGCTGCCTCCTGCCTCACAAGCGCAAGGTCTGGAGTTCGATCCCTGGTACCAAAAAAAAAAAAAAAAAAGGAAAAAAAAAAAAAAAAAAGGAAGGGCAAAGAGGAGGGGAGAAAAAGAAACTACTCTGCCAAGGACAACCCCCCAAAGGAGGGGCTACTGTTACAAAAGCCTATGTGTGGCAAAGGCTAAAAGGGTTGTTGACTGTGGGCCAAGTGAGGAACTATGTAAGCAAGAGACCTAGAGCAAGCTGAATAGTGCATTCTAATAAAATGAGAAGAA